GGAAAAGTCAGACATGTGAGGAACAAACGTAAGACTCACAGGCGAGGAACTGGAAGACGCCGGAGATGGTGAACCTCTTCCCTTTCTCCAGGGTGAAGAGCTGGGCCACGAACACGAAGATGCCCAGGATGGAGAAGATGCACGCCAGGATGGAGCTGGCCTGCACTGCCTGGAGGTAATCTGCAGGGGGAGCCAGAGATGGAGATAAACAAGGAGTGCGTGTGGGTGTGTGTGAGAGCAACAGTGTGTCCTGGGAAACGCCCAGGAAACACTAGGGGAGGAGGAGGAGGAGGAGGAGGAGTGACTCTTTGGCATCTTTTGGAAAATGTGGTCGGAGCGTCGCCGCGGCAGAGGCCGGAATGTTTACGTTCAAAACATCCCAGACGCTGAAGGACCTCCGAACGTGATAATTGTGTCGGCGTTCAGAGACTGAGGGTGTGATGTTCAGAATCATTGTTTCCCAAAGACTGGGTCGCAACCCTCAGGTGGGTCGCAAGAGTTTTTTGTTTGGGGTCGTTTCACGTCGTGTTTCCCAGGAGTTTACGAATAACGTCTATTGACTTGGGTCGCAAAAGTTTGGGACTAAAATATGGATCCCTAGAAAAAAACAGTTTGGGAAACACTGATCTGTATCACTGACTTCCTGTCGTTTGACCTTATGACCTCGGTCTGATCACAGAAAAAAAAACAAGAACTAAAGAAGGCGGATCGTTTGTGTCGCTCTTTCGCTACATGGAAACCTCTGGTGTCGCCCCCTGGTGCTTCAGATCGGCTGAAGCCCCGCCCACAAAGGTCAAGGTTTTTGTCAAAAATCCCAAACGTTCAGAGACAAACGTCCGGAGCGAGGACAGTGTGGTGCGGAGGAGTTCTTACCCTGAGGGTAGTGGGAGCCGGAGGGAATGTCGGTCAAGTTCCACACCCCGTTGGTCAGCACCCACCTGCCCCACAAGTCCGTGGAATAAGTGTCCGACGCCCACCAGGCCTGAGGAGGAAGAGGAGGAGGAAGAGGAGGAGACAGAAGTTTAGTACCGATTCAAGTCAAACTGTTTGAAAAAACTCCTTTGATGTTCGACTCAGTGAAAAATGTTGTAAACACAGCAGCGTGTGTGGAACGCCGTGCATGTGGGAATGTCAGATATTTCAAACGTCTGCAGCAAATACAGATGGACTGGACCGCGTGATGACATCACGGCCGAGCCGTCTGTCAGGCACAAATGTCAAATATGTGACAGAGAAGGACGGGGCCAAGTCCTCGGACCAGAGGGGTGAGGAGGGGGGAGAGTGACGACAGACGGACGCCTGTCAGGTCTCACTGCTGCCATTCCAACAGCCGGGGCGGGGGTCAGAGTTCGGGCGGTGACAACAGTGCCCCCAGGCTGTGGGTGTGTGTGTGTGTGTGTGTTATCGATACCTGCAGCCATGAAAAGCAGTAAAAACTGTGGAGCTTACATTGTCAATGGTGGCCACCAGGAGGAGGATGATGCCGATGATGTGAACGGCGAAGATGGCAGCGAGGAGAATCAGCATGATGACTGTGCTGCAGGGGGAGGGGGG